CACAACCTTCTTTTTTCTTTAATCACATCTTCTACAAGTACCTCTGCATCTTTCAGGCTCTCCCAACTCTGTTTCTGCTTCCATTGTTGAGGTTCGCAACATTTTCACTCTGTTCTGTGACCTTAAAGATGTTTTCAAAGATCTGCTGATCAGAGTGCTTCCTGTGTGGATTAGCCCTTAAGGTAGCAAGTGACCGAAAACTCAAAACCAAAAAGTAGGAAAGGAAGTTTACCCCTCACATCACAAATGGCAAAGGGAAGGAGTGGATCTAGCCTCAATAAAGCTTCATCTAATAGTGTTCTCAGGATGGTTTCTCTTCAGCTAGTAGCTTCTGCTTTTGGACGGCTCTACTGGTTGAGCTTGTCCCTAAAAGGTACAAGCAAGATGTTGGTATCTGCTCCATCATCTTACTTTCTCAGGTTTAAATCCAATGAATCCAATGGAAAAAAGAGCAAATGTTTTTCAAGTGGTCAACTTGTGGAATTTATTCTGCTTGGAACAGCACATTGCCATGCCCATCCTGAAACGGAGTCTGTAAGCAGGGATTGCAGATATATTGGGTATCTAACCCTGTGCCCCAGGTCTGTGTTTGTTAGGAGACCAGGAGTCCCAGTCAAAGCATAGAAGGAGTTGCCTGCCCAAAAGGAAATAGAAGAAGGAGGAAAGGTAACTAGGAATCAAAAATAATAAATACACACTCTTAGTGTCTCTTCTTATTACTGACACACAAAGTTAAAGGAATGTTTATTTAACTCACAGTTTATAGAGGTTTCAGACCACGACAATTTAGCTCCAAGGTAGTGACATGGAAGAGGGGACTGGCAGAGGCGAAACAGTCCGTGGCATGGCCAAGCAGCCAGCAACCAGGCTGCCTTTCCCTTTCATTTTATGCTACAAACCTTTCATTGGTGCCACCCACATTAAGGCTAGGGTTGCTGTTTTCAGTAAATCCATTCAGCCACACCCAGAACTATGCTAATTCCAGTCAGTGGCTACTTTAGTATCACACACCCTTAATCCATGTTCACACACCCTAGATCCAGCTGCCTATGACAGCATGAGGCTTTGGAGAGAGAGTAGGGGGTCTAGATATAATTTACAATACTATGCAACAAACTTTCATACCTTCAGGGTTCTGCTGACTGAAACTTGCAAACTCAGTGAAAGATTCAGGGAGTGATAGCTGCTGTGGTTGAATAGTTGTATAATAATTTCTTAAATTGTCATTCACCAAATGAAAGCTACCCAGAGGCCTAATTTTTCTAGAGAGTCACCAGCACACAACTACTGATCTGCATCTTAATTTTGAAAGTTGAAAAATGCAAATAGATTTATATTACTATGGCTATGCAAATGATTTTTATGGCAGAGTATGTTGGTATTTCAAAGTTCCCTGAGAGTCTTGTCATGTTGCATTCCACAAGAGTGTTCCTGGTGTTAAGCTGCTGAGAGGCCCCTGACCTCACACACTTGGCTCACAGTCAGCCCTGCTTGTCAGACCCTGGACAACAGACTCTCTGGCTTCCTATCTTCCACGCTCCTCTTGCTTGCTAGGATCTTTTTTTTTGGTTTGGTTTGGTTGTCATTTATGTTGCAAATGTCTTGTGATAGCTCCAGATGTATTTATAATTTTAAATAAGCAAAGAGTATGAGAGTTGAGTGGGAGTTCTGTGAATGTTGGTGGGATTTGTCAAGTAACAGGTTCATTGTAAGGTGGCAGGTAGAGAACTACCTAATATGTATCAGGGCCATAACTGACTAGGATAAACCCAGTCTGCAGGGGTCTTTATTCTTGAACCCCCATGTCCATACTAGCTACACTCACCAGATCACTAGACAGCTCATCAAGTAGTTTTAGATAAGACTGACCTCCCATACCTTAACAATTGTTTTTGTAGCGAGTTTGTAACTGTCATAAGTAGATAAGAATGTAGGAAATTTTTATTTCCATAACCGAATTTATGTTAATCCTATTTTCAGACCTATTCTTAAGTTTCATTGCTGCTGTCCCTTTTTGTTTAGCATAATGTCTTTCTGACTTTTTTTCATTAATTCATAATATTTTATCTGCTTTTTGTTCTATGGAAATTTATTGAGTATTCTTGTATGTTAGAATAACTTTAATAGAATTCTATCAACACTATCTTAATGATTTCTTCCAAAGAGGAGTTTACACATGCACATCTTTAGTACATGTGATGTGTAATCCTGTACCTGAAGCCTCTATATTCTTTTTAGTGGCTGCACAATATTTAAATGTACAAATATATTAATCCATCTTCTGCTGATTACTTTGTGATTATAAACACTAATGCCGTGAATGTTCCTCTAAATGCACATAGATTTATAGAATAAATTTTTAGTAGAGTGTGGAATTGATAGTCATTGGAAAGCTCCTCTTTGGAGAGAAAGAGAAAGAGAGAGGTGTACGTGTGTGTGTGTGTGTGTGTGTGTGTGTTTGTGCACACGTGTGTGTGTGTGAAGTGGTATCGCTAAGTGATTAAGAGCATGAACCCTAACGCCTGGTAGCCTGAAATCTTGGCTGTCTTCTTTAGTAGTGCTGTGACCTTGGGCAAGTTACTTAAGTTTCTGCGTCTTATTTTCCAGGGGATAAAAATGGAAATAATAATAATATCACCTTTCCTCTAGGACTGTGAGGACTAAATGAGTTAATTTGCCAAGACTCATGTCTGAATACTCAGTAACTGTTATCTGTTAGTGATGTTATGCTAGGTCAGACTTAGCAACCACATGAATTAAAAAGAAATCATGATTCTTGTGGCCTGTGCTAGGACTCTGGTGAGCGTGGACCTACACTCCTAAGCACACCTTTGAGAGGGGACAGGTCGTCCTCCCACAGCAGAGCTGCAAGCCCAGGGCCAAGGAGGAAGCATAGCTGATGTGAGCATGGGGCTCTGAGCTCCTCAGCCTTTTAAGGCTGTCCTGATCCCTACTGTCTCTGTAGGCTTAGATGGTAATCAGCGCATGGTTGGATGAAAGAGTGAATAAAACCAGGTGTAGGAATTCTTTTTTCCTTGTTTTTTGGAATTTTTTTCTTGTTTTTAATTTCTTTCTATTATCTCTAAGCCCTCATAAAGCCTTGTTAAAAGCTAGGTAAAAGCTAGGCATAGTGATACATGCCTAAAACATTAGCAACTTCAGCCACTTAGGAAATTGAGGCAAGAGGATTACAAATTCAAGATCAGTCTAGGCAACTGAAAGAGACCCTGTCTCAACATAAAATAAAAAGGGCTGGGGATATAACTCATGGTTAGAGTGCTTGCTTAGCACACATGAGGTCTTGGGTTCAAATCCCAGCACTGCCAAAATACCAAGCCAAAGCAAACCCAAAGAAGACAAATCCTAACCATCAGAGCCTAGTTTACCATGCTTGAAAGGGAGAGGACCAAGGAGGATGCAGAGTGAAATGATCCTGCCTGAGCTGATTGCAGACAAGAGACAAACCCCAGTCCCCACGGCTCCCCAGGAACAGGTGAGAGAGCCTGGCAAGAGCATGGGTTTCTGCTCCTTCAGGAAAGAAGCCTTGGACTGCTCACCCTGTATATTAGCAAAGAATGAACCCTTAACCCTAAGAACAGTGGAGCAAAGCTGTTTTGTGGTTAACCTCTGAATAAAGGGAAGCTTTTTATATTCCATTTCTAACTTTTGATAAATACTAAAATAAGCCAGCATTTGATGCTGGATTGACTCGTTCTCCTGGTTAAGGCAACTGTCAGGTTAAATCCAAGAGATCAGTTGAGATAGCAGGAACCTTGGGCTTCCAACCAGACTCAGTGCCATAACCTCACCATCGGTTTCTGGCTCTGTAAAATGGGGATTACTGTCATAATAACTACCACTTGCCTGGATTTAAGACCATCTTGACATTAAATTAAAAGAGAGAACAAACAAATAAATTAGAGTGATAATATATCCTGAAATATTTTTTTTGGTATTTTTACTGGTACCAGGGATCGAACTCATGACTGCCTGCTTGCAAGGCAGGCACTTATGCCGCTGAGCTAAATTCCCAGCCCCCTATATCCTGAAATATTAACCTAGAAGTCATTGTTACTGGTAAAACTATTAGAATGTTATGTTTCTCTAACATTCCTGGCAATGCTTGACTAAGGAAAAATCTCAATTTTAAGTTGCCTTACAATATGGTTATAATTTATTATTATTTCTTTCACAATTCATGTATTAATGTGTTGAGAAGTAGATCTATGTTCAGCAGGGGCTTCCTTTCTAAAATTAGGAAGTCTGTATAACAGATAAACAAAATACTCTTTCACATATTATAATAATTGTCACAAATCATAATATGTAATGTTCATTGTTAATGCAGAAAAAAAAAGAACAAAGACTTATTTGTAATTAACCGGATCCAGTATAAACCCAGAAACCAGGAAGCTCCTTTGGAAGAAGGCTCAGGAAAGACCAATGGAGATTCCAGGAACACTGGACTCACACATGGGTCTCTGGATAATACCTGCACCAACCTCCTATTTTAATAATGAATCAGCTGCTGGGGACGTGGCCCCTTTTGGGGGGTCTTCATTGGGGTAGGTAACTGGATGGTTTCTGTTTTGTTTGGGGGAATAAATATTTGAAGGGGGTAACTGAAGACGGTCTTGCGGCTGCTGTGGTGTTACTGATACACAGGCTGACGCTGTTACGCGGGTACTATCAGGCCACATTATCTTTATGCCTCCAAGGTAACCCGAAGCAGCTGTCTATTGCCTTGGCACCCCCTCACCAAGCTCTGCCTACCTGGGGAAGTAACCTGAGCAGACATACTCCTCACAGACAGCTTTCTTAGCCACTGACAGCAGCAAGAAGCCAAAGCGCGAAAGCACCTCCACCGGCGCTTGTCTCCTCCTCTTCTGCTGAGCGAGATCCACTGGGGAGCCCTCTGCAGGCGCACGAATAATTGCTGCACGGAACCCTCTGGAAAATTCCCTCTGCTCCTGGGACTTCGCCATGTGTCACCGCGGGTCATGTCCACGTGGAGAGCCAGGCTGGCCCAGGGGCTGAAGGCCCGGTCGGGAGGGATGCACCCATTCCCCTGCTCCGCGCTACTGGCTTGTTTCGGGAGCTCGCAGGAGCCAGCGCCCTTCGATCAGCCCGGCGCCGCCGCAGAGGCCCACGCCACCACCCACGCCCAGCCCACGGCCAGAGCGGACTCACACTGCAGTCCCGGGCGAGCGGAGGGAGCTGCAGCCAGAGGGGGCGATTCTGGCAGCTCCACTGGGCGAAATGGCAGCGCAAAGCAGGACGCAGGCAATCACGCAGCTGCCCAGCCTGCAGGGCCCCTGGAGGGTCAGCCTAGGCCCCTGGAGGGGGAGCCCCACCACCAAGCAGTTACTGTGCAGACGCCCATCCCCAGACCATCAATTATCAACAGGCCGGAGGTGAGTGGGGCAGCCAGGGCTGCCACAGGTTGGGTGGTGCTGGGCCACTGGTCTGATTCGCGCGTGGACTCACACGCAAAGACACAAGGGCACTCACGCCAGCCCAACCAGGTGTGCAAAGCCTTTAACTCCTCCAGGCTCTCAAAGATGTAGCGAGAGGCAGGCAGTTGAGAACTAAGAGCTTCTGCAATGGTCAACAGGGTCTCAAGAGGGGTTCGGGGCAGTACAATATGGAAAGACCCCCACCCTTCGCTTTTAAACTGGTTAGTAAATTTATTTATATGAAAACAGTGTAAAAGGCTTGACTCTAGGAATTAAGAAATTATCTTTAGCCTTAAAATGAATCACAGGGCAGTAAAGTACCATGAAGGACATTTGGAAACGATAATCACAGTGTGCTCAGGAGCGCAGAAAGGGCCTGATTAAGGAGACGCACGATACCAGGTGTTCCTGTGACAGTTCCGAGATTTCAAGACAGGAAGAGGAATGTGTTTTAAAAGATGGTGCTCCTGGGGCGAGGGGTTAGCTCCATGGCATAAACACCTGCCTGGCAAGGTCAAGGTCAGGAGTTAAGTCCCCAGTAACAAAAAAAAAAAAAAAAAAAGCAATCCCTTGAGGTATTTGGGATTTGATTATTGAATTTCCCAATAAAGTTCCCAAATAAACTGTACCGGCATTCCTAAATTCTTGATAATGCCAATTTTGGAGAGGAAGTGTCTCCTAAGATATTTCTCAGAGCTGTCCTATGAGCATGCTTTTGCTCTTGATTTGTCATTTACTGGCTAAGTAGCTTAGGACCAGACCTTAAAAACTGAGAAGTCTTAGGGTATCTATTACTGAGATACTCTGATTTTTTAAAATCTTTTTTCCTATGACTTAAATCTAAGGAGACTCTTTAGCATTGAAAAAGTCTCAGTATCAAATTAATAAAGTTAAAATATGATTTAAAACTAGTTTTCTTTGATGCTCCACAGATTTATGTTAAGTAAGGAAACTCAGCTCTGTTGCCCGCACCCTTCTATTCTGAAGGAAGGGACAGGTTTCACCGAACTATGTTAGAGCAGTAACAGCTGGCTTTTCCTTGCTCTTCTAAATCAAACCCTGAAACTAATCCTCAGAAACAAAAACACCCATTCACTTTTCAGGACACACTCACATCCAGATTAAGGTATTGTAACAGCATTAGAGTTAACTGAGTACAGTTGTAGTAGTTATGGGTAAATCTGTATTTGTTGCATGCTGCTTGTTGGTTGTAAAACTAGAGGTTCAGCTCCGGCCTCACGCCTGCTAGACAAGCACTGTACCACTGAGCTCTACCCCAGTTCTTTCTATTTTTTAAATTCTGAGACAGGACCTCACTAAGTTGGCCAGGCTGTCCTTGAATTTATGATCCTCTTGCTTCAGCCTCCCAGCTAGCTGGGATCACCGTATGTGCTACTGTGACTGGCTTGAAGTATTGCTTTAACAAGCTGGAAGACTTTCTATTGGGGAGAGGGCCCAGCAACCCAGAGCCCACCCTATATTGAGTATAGGAGCAAGGAAGAAGAGTCCATCTGATTTTATCTTTCTGTTTTAGTGGCTTATGTGTGACAGCAGGGTGGTCACAGTCAGCATCTGCGTTCAAATAGAACCAATAAAACATATGCTTGTATTGCTAATTAATTATGTAGTGTTTGAGGGTTTGTAATCAAGTATTCATATATGACCACACTTGATGTGCAATAAAACTTAAATTCTCTATGTATGTGTATGTTCGTGTAAGTACATGTAAATGTATGCATGCATATGATTACAATTTTAAACATCAGTCTGCATAGCCTTTTTCTACTGTGGTTTTATGGTGTCTAACACAATGGAAGGGGACTTTTTCCATTTTGCACTCTGCTGGCTCCAAAGCTTGCGGCTAACAGTGTAGGCGCTTACCCTGGATCTTGCAGCTGAACATATTATAGGACTTCCCAGAGTTTCCATTATCTGGCATGTTTCCCCTCAGCAGTTGATGGATGAGCTGCTTTTATTACCACCTTGCCTGGTGGCAAAAATCTGCACTGATCCTTATCTATCACTTAAGCTGCCTTAGTAGAAGCCACACATAATACTTTTTCTTCTTTGGAGTTCAATCTCAGAACATAACTAGTGTAGCTCAGCAATGAGGACAAGACCTTTTACTCACTGCTGGTTACCTGGTCTTCAGACAGCAGGGTGGATCATTTAGGTCAGAAAGGATGGTCTGAGAGGAGAAGGTGGAAGTCATGAAGTCAAGTGAGCTAACTATAAGTGAGAGGTTTTCCTTTTGTGTAAATAGCATTTAAAAAGTGATACCAAGTAGTTTTCAACCTTTTCTGTGGTTGTCTCTTCCCTGTTCTGAGCCTGAAATTAAGTTGATAACAAGCCTAGATTTGGGCATATCTTATAATTGCTAGTACCTTTAAAGAATATATTTTTACCTTTCTTAATGGTCTTAAAATTGTGGCATCTCATATTTGGTAGAACCTTAGAGTCAATGAAATATAGCAGTACTGTGGTCTCTTCCTTTCCCTTTCTTTCCCTCCCCTTCCCTTCATTTTCTTTCCCTTCCTTTCTTATCTTTTTCTTCCTCTTCTGCTCCTCCTCCTCCCCATCCCAGTCCCCATCTCTTCCTCTCTCCATCCTCCTTCTCCTTCTCTTTTTTTTTCTTCTCCCTCCGCCCTGTGGCCTTTATACTGAACCACATCCTCAAACATCCCCAGCCTTTAATTAACTTTCCTTTTTTGAGACAGGGTCTCACTAGATTGCTAATTTATCCAGACTGGATCAAACTCATTGTCCTCTGCCTCACCCTCTCAGAATGCTGGGATTACAGGCATTTGCCTCCAGGTCTGGGCTGCTGTTTATTTTTCTAGCTGATCCTTCTGTGCCTTCCTTTTCTGCAAGGACAGCAGCAGGCCTGGGGAAGTACAGCTGATGGGTGATCTGGGGAAGACAGATGTGTAGACAGTAGTAGCATCAGTGCTGTGTGAGAAAGCTGAGGGGTCAGCTTTGGATGCCTCAGGGACGCGGGAAGGTGCTTCCAGCTCAGTCTTAGGAAGACAGGGAGACCAGTTATTTGGAGGAGGTGGTTTCAACCTTGTTTTCTGAAAATTGCTCATCAGACCCAACCCTGCACCTTGCTAGCTGGCTTCACTCTGCTGGGAAGGGAGATTCACACACAAGTGCTATGGCTCCAGGGTGGTTTGGTACTGGTTGGAGAAAGTCTCTCTGCAGTAGTAAGTTTTGATGACTGCAGGCTCCTAGTAAGTTTTAAACTTGGCTGAGATCATGAGCTTTGTTCTGTTCTTTCAAGATTGCTTTGGTCATCTGGTGTCCCTTGAAATTCTGCATAACTTTTAGAATGGATTTTTCTGTGTCCCGTAAGAAGCATCGTTTACCTCCAGGTAAATTAGGGTGGTATTGACAGCTTAATAACATCAAGCTATCTGTTCCATCAGCATGGACTATGTTTCTGTTTATTTGTGTCTTTGATTTCTTTTATAACCATTTTGTAGTTTTCAGTGTACATTTCTTTTGCTTCCCAGGTTAAGTGAATTCTTACATATTTTATTATTTTTGACACTATTGTAAGTAGAATGGTTTTCCTTATTTACTTTTTAATTGTTCATTTTTAATGTTATAGTGCAACTGATTTTTGTGCATGGGTTTTAGGTCTCAAAATTATGTTGATTTTATTTTTTAGTTCTGTTTTTAAAAATTGTTTTGAGTATCTTTATAAACTTTAGGGCTTTCTCTATAGAAGGTTGTGACACCTGAAAGTATGTAATTTTATATATTTCTTTCCAATTTGGATACAATTTACTTCTATTTTTCTTGTCTAATTATTCTGGCCAGAACTCTCAATGATGTGGGAAGTAGAAATGCTATGAGTGAATGCCCTTATCTTGTTCATGATTTCACAATAAAAGCTTTTAGTCTTTCACATTTAATGCTAGCTGTGAGTTTTCACATGTGGACTTTATTGTGTTGTGATAGTTTTCTTTTATTCTTAATCTGTTGAACATCCTCATGGTGAAAGTGTACTGAGTTTGTTAAATGCTTATTCTGACTTTTTTTTTTACTTTTGTTTTATCTTTTTATCGGTACTGGGGATCGAACTCAAGACCGCCTGCTTGCAAGGCAGGTGCTTATGCCGCTGAGCTAAATCCCCAGCCCCAAATGCTTATTCTGAATTGATTGAGATGAGCATATCAATTTGCTTTATTCTGTGGTGATTTGTTACATTTTGGATTTTTCTATGCCAAATCATCCTTGCATTGTAGGAACAAATCCTCCTTGGTCATGGTATAATCTCCTTAATATGTTGTGGAATTGTTTGCTAATATTGTGTGGAGAATTTTTGCATTAATAATCATCAAGGATATTGGTCTGTAGTTTTATTTTCTTAGTATTGTCTTTGTCTGACTTTGATATCAATGTAATGCTGGCCTTATACAATTAATGACAAACTGCTTTGCAGTTTTCAATTCTTTGGGAGAGTTTAAGAAGGACAGGTGGTAATTCCTCGCATGTTTGGTGGAATTCACCAGCGAAGCCATGTGGTCCAAGGCCTTTCTACATTGGACTACTCATGGGACCATGCATGTTATCCGACTTGGTCTTAGTACAGAAGAGCTACCATGACAGCATCGCTGAACTATGGTAATCACAATTGTCATCACTTCCTGAGTCCCACTAACAGTCTAGGAGTAGTGTTACATTTCTTACTGGATTTTCCATCTTTCTAGTCCTTTCAAAATATCACTTCCGAATTATATCCTCCTCTTCTCAAATACCTCCAGGGCTTCCCATTTCATGCTCACAGTGGCCCATAGGTGCTATATAAAGTATCTCCTACCGTCTCTCTGAGTTTGCTTCCTACTATTCTTTTTTTTTTTTTTTTTTGTCTTTTTCATTTTTATCGGTACCAGGGATCGAACTCACTACTGCACACTTGCAAGGCAGGCACGTATGCCGCTGAGCTAAATCCC